AAGAACGTAACTCAAACCTTATCGAAAATAGTACTTTCTAGAGTGAATATTCTGCCGAAGAATCTCAACCTGTAAGAAAGTATGGCGGCAAATAAATCACCAAAATAAATAGCTCTGTATGTCTTCGACATTGGATGCTGACCACAGTAGTTTTAACGGACTCACCTGGCTGAAGGCGCTCGGTCATGCATTCGCACCAGATCACGAGTGGGAACACCATACTCAACATCTCTTGCTACCACTAGCCAGTCTAGATCAGACGATTCTCGATATATTGATAGCCTATCAAAAATGTCTTCGAACCTTCTCATTTCCGTCTTTGATTTCACTTGGTGTTTACGACTCATAAAGGTAGGCGTTACTATTTAAAGCAGTTTCCAAATCCCAAATAAGGTGGCATCTTCACAAGATACCATCTATTACAAGTACTTATGTCACTAATCAACTTATATCAAATTAATAATCAATTAAAGTATTGCATCATTGGCTTACACACAGTCCATAATTTGAAACTGCCTGATAAGTTTGTAATATGGTACTTATGGAAATAGTGTTTTCCAACAGGATATGAAACTCAGAGGATTATGTGAGGTATGATATATCCAAAAAATAAGCTTAAATGAGCCTAACATCACAAAAGTAGGGTGGGTGGAGTTGCTGATCAGTAAGCATTGATGGCGACTTCAGTCCGCCCATGTTTGTGGCGTAAACCATTTTGTTTGTATCAGGCTCTTTATGTTTGGGAACAAGTCAATCAATCTGTGATATTAAGGTTGTTCTACGCTAACCATTCAGACCTATGTTTCCGATTTTATGCAGGATTAGCTAGTTTACCAAGACAAATTACAACATGCCAACTCGGACTTTTACATTAAGACTAAGTGGCAGGCATCGGATGAAAGAGTAAGACAATAAAAGACATAGTTTTTCTTTCAGAATCATGCTCTGAGAGCGCAGCCATGGAACTACTGACATCTGGAACAAAATAGACGCACTCGTGTCTCAAGGTCGCAATTCACACTCAGCGCTCTACAAGTACACTTTATAACAACTATAAACTTAAAAAGTTGAAATGCGCAAATACTTAGCACGACCAAAATCCTAGAACAATTATGCGGAGATCGGATCTGATGTGTAACTTGGGCACGATGCCACTTTGGAAAATATTTTGAAGATTACTCGGTATCAGAAGGGGTTTTATGAAGATCCTAGTAATTTCAATGTTTGAAAGCATGAGCGAATTGAGGCTAGACCACCATGAAAAACTTGGAGGCACTGGAAAGCTGTTTCGTCCCAGTATGGCATTCTTCAGCGGTGCGCGTCCACGATTCTGCCCTCCCCGTGAGATTCGAACACAGGAGCTATCGGTCTTGCGCGCGAGACTAGGAGGTATGGAGTGAAATTAGTTGTCTCAGGTGAACTAGTAATTAATAAGTGAACCTTAACTCTGTGTTACATTCCGGGTAATTTATTCCATTGCTTACTATGTTAACAACGACTACTTACACTTGATTTATGTGAATATTTCTTAGACAATTAAATTGGTCAACACAATAACACAAACTTTTGCTCGTTTACTTATTTTTACTTTAATAATGCTGGGACACGTTTTACCTAGATCTGGTTGGTTGTCAGCATCAAAAGGCGGATTAAAAAACTCGTTTGATAATTCCCGAAATACATTAACTGAAACGATACGTCCACAGGCGAATATCGTTCAGTTATACCAGTTTAATTTTTTGTGACGTCAAATAACACATGTTATCGAGATTTTCGAGTGACTACCGACCAAGTGAACGAAGTATTAAATGGGTTGGAACTTATGGAAACGTGAAAGTGAGCAGATTCTTACACTATCAAATCATTGACGATTGTCAGCGTTATGCTGAGAGAATATCCTTCAGCGATAGGCTTCAAATTAGTGGTTTAACAAATACTACCCCAATAGGCGCTAATGATGTCTCCACTAAACAAGTAATTATGTTTAACAACAGTAAAATAACTTCATGTCAGCCTGATAATGTAGTAGTAGTGAACGGCCATCCAGGTTTAGTCAATAATATAGAGGAGGACGGACTACTAAAATTGAGGACTTTCACTGACCCATGCAATTACTTTGAGGATCCTTTCCCATCTAGTGATATTGGAATCTTTATGTGCTCCGTAGTTAGCCACGAATACACCTGGGTATCGGTTCACGACATTGATTGTAAATGTATAGCCATCAATTGTACTAATTATATAGTTGTAATCCCATTGTTGCATACTTTATTGTAAACGCATTTTGTTTCATTAGTGTTTAAGTAATGATGATAAATCATTTACTTACGTCTTATGTTCTTTTCAGCCCACTAACAAGAAATACGTTATTGTCAGTATGGGGGTTGTGGAGATTGTTAAGTTTTTGGTTGAGATCATGAATCAATTGATGTTAGACCACCGTTGGATGCGCACTGCTGAGGAGTCCCATACTAGGACGAAACGGCCGTCCAGTGCTTCCAGGTTTCCAACGGTGGTCTAATATCAATTGATTCATGATCTCAACCAAATACGTTATTGTTGACGTCCTAAAAAAACAACTTATGATAGCATCAAAGGACTGGATAGTTGGCAATGACCTTTGCCTTCTTCCGAACGAGCTGGTCGATATACACCTGCAGAAGTGCGACCAACCGAATGAAAATTGGTCACTTATGAAATGTAAAGTGATTCACGAATTAGGTAGGTACATACACAGAAAGTATAATTCACTATAGATTCTCTGCAGTCGGCAAAAGATCTGTTAGTTGCCCTACAGATACTGGAATGTCAACGGAAAAACACCTCAACGGATGAAAACACTTTGCCACTTAACACTGAGAAGCCAAAGAGGTCTGTACAATAATCTTACTTACATTTCCTAGAGGTGTAATGAAGCGTAAAGAAGATTTTCTTTACAATTCAGTCGACATGGATGTGGCTGAGATGCAGGCTGGGAATAGCCGCGTACAATATCCCAAATTCCGTGTTTTCGACAAAGTGATATCGCCAATCGCCAAGTACGTTTAATTACTATTTAGATATTCACTATTTAGTTCAACACAATTAGAGACATCACCATCCACATCGGAATGTAAGCATGTTGGTGGCGCTGTATGGACCAGTAAGTAACCTGCATCATCTAGTGACCTTTTTCACCTGTGATAGGTTGTATACTGTGGTGCTGAAGATGTCGTCAGCTATCAATGACTTGACTAAAACGATTAACAACATATCGTCCGCCATTATGGACTTGAATGTTAATGTAAACCAATTGCTTTCAAAGTCTAATGAGCGCGAAAGACCGCATCAATTCGATTGCGGACTGTCAAGTCAGCAGTTCCCTTTGTCATCTGAAGAGGAACTACAGATGCTAGATACTGGTTTGTCGCAGAAAGAAACCAGGGACAGATTTGTAAGTCATTTACATGAATTTAATAATTTGTTACTATTACAGATGGCAATGGTCACTAGGTTATCAGGTGACGATCCAAAAACGTCCATGCGTTTTGTTCTGTCGCATCTGCTGACACCGGAGGTTGCCAGTAAATTCACGTTACTTGGCACCTCTTCAAAACGAGCACTACAGAAATGCACGTTTTACAGCTGCATACGAAGTAACCTATATCTATTACTTAAACTTCAGGTGCCTTAACTCATCGCTTTTTGTCATCCTCTGTCAACGAGAAAGACCTTGGTAAGCTCTACGACATCGCGACACAAGGTTACTTTCACGACATCCGAGACAAGATGATAAAACGAAATAGAAGAAAAAGAAAATCAGGTATGTACTAATTTAAAGTGATAACCTCCCTACGGCTCTATAGTTACAGTCAACAATACTAACGAACATAACCGTAAGTTCAGCTTCAAGTATTTGGCTGTGCAAAAGCATGTCATTGAGATATGGTTGTGACTTTTTTTTTTTTGTTTTTTTAATTCAGAATTCACAGGACGACTACCTCAATTCTGAATAGTCCGTGCAATTGTTTTGATGTTCTACCTCGATTTCAATAAACATTATTCTTTCAAACAGCTTACTCTTTTACTTACATGGGAAACTGTTGAAGTGTTGAGAATGTGTGTTTGAGTTTCAGTGAACTTTTGATTAAATGCACATTTCTTATGAATAAATATAACCTGTTCCTTCTTTTTCAGATAATTTCAAATAACAATGAATTAGCAATTGCATTGGATATGCATAACAATCGATGCTTAAGCTTGTGCTTTACTGTTGTACAATAATACGCTTTTCTTTTTAAATAAATTTTTAAAATTTACCGCTTTTCCACTGCATTGCAGATATATTTTGGTCTGTTGTTGAAAATAAAGGCGAACATAGGAGACCTTTGGGGTTCTGTCGATGGATAGAAAATAGGGGTAATGTGTGTATTTAGGCGAAAAGTAGACAATTAAGCGCATAAGTAGGCAATTCGGCGGATATTTAGGCGAAAATGCGACAATTCGGCGGATATTTAGGCGACACGTCGGTAATTTGTCGACAAAAAGGCGAAAAGGGGGAAAATCCGCACTATTTCCCCCGGACAGGCGAAAAAAACGACATTCTGGCGCGTTTTCCACTTTATTTCCCCTTTCGCCACCAAAGCATTTACCCCTTTATTTCCCCTTTCTTCGCCTTTATTTCCCCTTTTTGGGTTGTCTGGGGACTTGATTGATTGTAATCCCTCATGGTTATATTCATCTTCTGCGTATATACGCAGTAAATTTTAATATTTTTGACGTAATCTAGTTAATATCATGGACTGAGCAACTAAGTTTTTCTTAACACTAACTAATACATAATACAACAATTGTTGTAGTTAACTACATGTCGAACCCATTGAAACCACCTTAAGTAAGTATCCGAATTAATAGAAGTGAACAGAAACATGGTTCTAGAATCGTGCTCCAATATATGGACATAAGTACAGACAAATGAACTTTTCTCGAGTGCTTCAATTACCTATATTGGAAATTGGAAACTCGTAGTTTTTGGGTGACCACGACTTTTAAATTTCAAGGTGACATGATTCTCGATGTGTGAGTCAAGGTTTTACCTGAAGGGAGTTTAGGCTAAGAAGTCTAAACTAAATGACAATGAATATTGCTTCAGCTCGTCGTTATGACAAAGTCTGTAATTGCCGATGGCAAACGAAGTTTGTGATTTGTATACAATGTATATGCTACTCTTTATCCTTCATCCCTAACATGAATTCGTACTTCTGCATTATCGGAGGGTACCTCCTACCACCTTACTTTCGTCTTTGGACACTTTTTACGTCTTCGTTTTACAACTTTTCTCTCACACTTCTCTTATTGGATATTCTGACTGTGTTTCTTATGGACAAATTACTATCCGGTCCTTACAAATGGCTTGAGCTGCTTCGATTTAGTGTGTTGGTAAACTTTTCTTCTTCTGTCTCTGTTTCTTTATTTCTTTTCCCAATATCTCTTATCATGTATGACAAAAGTGTGCTGTTTTTATATCCTGTTTGCGGTCTTGTTGCACTTCTGGGTGGCGTCACTGTATTAGGCCGCCAGATGATGTCAGATAAGCTATTGATCGATTTTCCTTTGGGAAAAATACGCTATAAACACATACCATTCATATCTGCTCTGTCCTTCGCTGTTTTATTTAGCATTGGGTTTTGTGCTGGCATATCCTTTTCTCTCTTTGTAACTGGGATTTTTATTGCGTGGACCTACTTGCGTTTCTTTCAAAGACACAGTAATGGACTACTTGGCGATGTGGATGATAGCTTCACGTTTGCTGGGTAAGACTAACTTTGTCTTATCTTCATAACCCAGATTTTTTCCAAATCATTTAGGCCCACCTGTCTCTGTAGTATCTAGTGCAGTATTCAACGTTCTTGTTCGGCTGAATATTTGTAAGCCACCACCCGTAAGACAAGTATCAGCCTCACCTTCAGTGGTTTCATTTACGATAGATATACACAACAATGCTTCTCAATTGGCTAACAGGTACGTCACCATGTTTTAAATACTTTCCATTTTAATGGTTGAATTCATGAGTCGTTTTAAACTAGATCGCCTTGGAAAATCTGGGAGCACTAAACGGCTGTTTCGTCCTCGTACGGGACTTGGCAGTGCGCATCCACGATCTCGCACGCGAGATTCGAACCCAGGGCCTTCGGTTCCGTGCGCGAACGCTTAACTTCTAGAGCACTGAGCCATTTTGTTGTACAAGGATAATGGGTTGAGTGCATAAATGGGTTTGAACACTTATGTATTCTAAGGGTGTCGATTTAAACTCTCGACTGTGAGTGATTTCTGTAGACGTAGTTTTAAGTAGCGTATTACTTATTCAAGCCGCTTCTCATAAATCGGAAAATGGTAGGACACTAGAAATGTATAGCATTGAATTGAAATGACATTATTGCGGAAAAAAGTAACGAAAAACGACTCTATGGCCGGAAATTATCAAACACTTCATACAACCACCCTTCATCCGTTGATATTCATTCAGAGGGTGATTTTACACCACTTTTCACTTGCTTTCGGTTAACAGGCGGCGCTAATCGACTTTATTCTTAGCCAAGTGATTTGACATAGTTTTGTAAAAAATAAGGCCTGGTAATTCGAGAGACATTTAATTCTGAGAAACCATTCACCTGTAGTATTATATTTGCAAGTGGATAAACTGCTAATGGTGCGTCCGCAAATAAACGTGGACAACTTCCGAAGTATAATTATGGAACCTCGCTGTGAAATGACTTACACACACCATCTCGGATAAATCAATGTTTAACGTGAGACCACTTCAGAGTTTTCTAAATTCGGGAGCGATTTCGTTTGTCTAAAGTATGCCGTGAACAAAATAGGAAATCGAAGATGTTCGTCTGGTGTATTTATTTTTATTCGTTATGTTTTTCGCGCTCGTGTGTTCTAAGTTTATTCTTATGCTTTTCAAATCGGACTGTTGCTTTTAGTGACTGCTTTTGGCCTTTCTCACTACCTGCCGTTTATTTATCACAGATTATTCGCTACAATAGGTGGCTGAAATGCACAACTAGTCAATTATTGGCAATGGGGAACCTATGATGTGGAATACGGTCACACTATTTATTTTCTCTACTTTAGGATAGATTAGTAAACAATTAGTTTTAAGAACTGATGTTAACCTAGGATGATGGCAGCTGCATTTTCAATACACCTTATTTTCTATGTACTCATTAAGTTGTTAGATGTAACTGATAGGAAAGCAATTCATTAGAATCATTTAATTCTGCTCGATTTTTCTAGTGATAGTGTGGAATATTTCGTTGTTTATATTTAGATATGAAGTACACTTTGTACTTGAAAACTTAAAATTATTCAGTTGCTTATAGTATCTGCATTTCGAAGTCAATCTTTCTGCTTGGAAAAAAATAGAATCTTCAAAATAAATTTGTCACTTGAATTCCAATCAGTTCGAAATACATCAGTTCAGGAAAACGTTTATCTAAAACATTAATAAAAGGATTCTATATTACTGTCTTTCATAATTCTTGGATATTCGTGTACCGTTTGCTTTAAGGTCAGATATTTATTGTCGCTATTATAGTCATTAGTGAGATGTTGCTTGTTGGCTTAGACAGCTGGTTTTCACCCATTAAGCTATTCGTCTTCATTATATAGGTGTAGCTTGTGAACTACTTTACATTTCTATTCGTGGTCATTTAAGTATATTCCATCCTGATTCTTAATAATTATCTTCTCTATCTTTAGGTACATTCCAGCTCTAGACCATGTAAATACTGCAAGTATTCAGTCTGCAGGAAAATATATTTCGTCCATCTATACAATTTCAAATTTATCAACTGAACAAAGTCAACCCATACAAACAAATGGTACACCACTGCCACCTATACCACCTCCGATTTCTGTTTCAAATAATAATTTATCGTGATATTCTCTCTCTTAACTGTGCTGTTGCACAAGAAAATTACTGTTTTTTGGTCTGTATTCAACTTTTCAATTATGAATGCTAATGCAGAAAATCTAGATGAGCTCCGTCGTCTATATATATATATATATATATATATATATATATATATATATATATATATATATATATACTTTCTGTTTTAACTTTCAGTAAAGTGTCTTGTTATATCTCTATTTTATACTTATATCTTGTTGATGGCTGTGATTTGTATAGTCAATAAGAAATAGTATACCGTAACAACTTTTCTTGTCTTACCGGTTAATATTTGGTACTTTCAACGACAATGACCAAACAAATAGTTATAAATAAAATTAAACTTCCTAATAGTATATTTAGGTAGTTATTTAAAAATAAACTATAAAATTTACCTATTTTTAGATGATGAACTTAAACCAATCAAAGGTACAGCACTTAACAGATTGCTCTAGTTTCTAAAACATAATTTAATCCTGTACGCTTCCGTTAGTAATGGTTAACAACAGTCTATTACTGCATAGAAGCTTGCAGCTATCATAGATGTAACAAGTGTTTAAATTTGGAAAGTATTAGGCAAAAAGTCGCAAAACTGTGAGTTATTTTATTCAGGTGTTTACTTAATTAGTGCAAAAATGATACAAAATATTGAAACAAGCGAAAGTAGTCAAACTGGAGAAGTGAACAAAATGAGCACTTGAACTTACTGTTGTGCATAGGAATTAGCTTATACAAAAGTTGTAGGTATAAACGCACATTCAGTCTCCACCTAACCTAGTGGTTGGTTATGAAACAGGGGACATTGGTGAGTTTGAAGATGATCAGTGGTTGCATTAGATGGTATTTAAAGACTGCTTTCAGAATGTCATCGATGGCAAAGTTGAAGAGGAATGGTAAGATCGGGCAACTCTGTCTAACTCAACTACTTGAATGGAACAATGGAGAAAGGTGGTTGCCTGTCCTCACTTTGCCTGTGTTTGTATGTAGGGCTTTTAGGATGTTAGTAAATTTCTCAGGCACACCCGTCTTCAATAGACAATCCTGTCCAACGAATCGAAGGCAGCTCTGATGTCAAGCACTACGATTGTTGGCCTTTGATAAGTATGACGGTGTTCTAAAATTTGGCGGAGCGTGAAGATATGATCAATACATCCTTGAATAGAACGAAACCCAGCCTGCTCCTCGCGAGTCAATCTTTCCCGGGTTTTGAACAACCTACGAAGTATGATGGAAGCCAATAGCTTGGACGCAATCGGAAGTAGACTCACGATGTGATCAATCTGAGTCCAGGCTTGGGATGCAGAGGGAGGACGCCAGGTGGCACATCGGCGATGACTGTGCCGAAAGTTAGTGCTAGCCAGAAACAGGTTGTGGTCTGTGCACAGTTGCAGTAGACGGTCCCCGTTACCTAACCTGCGACCAACGAGTCCCCACCGGCCACCTAAACGACTCCTTTCTGTGCCTAGACGCCCGACCTGAGCATTCAAGTCTCCGACTAGTACTACAATATCTGTCGAACGCACTTTCTGGAGAAGAACAGATAACTGGTGGTAAACTTCATCCTTGGTTGCATCTGGGCTGCAATCTGTCAGGGCATAGGCGGAGATGTCGAAAAGACATCGTTTCTCACACCGATTTCTTCTCACTTTGATGGAACTTTATAATCTAACAGCATATAACCGACTGTTAATGGGGATCCAATCGGTCTGTGCTGCCTCAGCTCTAGCACTTAGTGAGACACCAACTCTAGCAAGACCAGACGAAGATGCCACAGGGTCTCCAGATAAACGCACGTATAACAAGCCATTTGAAGCGACAGATGGAGAGCGAATTTGTAGTGCTTCACTAGAGTCTTGAATACGAGTCTCAGATAGCCAACAGACGCCAATATTAAGACTATCTAAAGACATAGTCAGCCCTATCTGTTGTCTGGTCTGCATTAGTGTGCGAAAGTTGAAGTAAGCCAGTTTGAATGGTGCACGTGATCTCGGGAAAACCTTCAGTATTAGGCGGTAGCATTCAATTTTCGACCAGTGACTCGAGATAGTTTAGATAGGACAGTTTCCACCATAGGCGAGCTGCTGTATAAGTTGAGAAATAAGGATACACAAAGTGGGAATAAAAGAGATCGGATGAGTGACGTAGTATTTTTATTTATTTATTTGAGCACATAAATATTGGTACAAGAGAGCGCCAATATACATGCGCCACACAAAACAATGAAATTCGAAGAGAAAGAAAATAAGGTAAGGAGCGTAAGAAAGAGAGAATAACGAAGAGGTTGGTGTAAGGTAGTGTAGTAATAATAATAGTCATAATGGGGGAACGGAAAGGTACAATCAGAACAAATCTTTCAGTTAAAGAAGAAACAACCACTTTTTATGAAGAAAGTAAAAGAAGGTTACAGCACGATCGCCACTGGCTTCTATTCTGAGCCATATCTGATAACGTCTCTAGCCACTGTGTAGCACCATCTCTCGGACCCCAACCAGGGAGTCGTGAAGGACCAACAGAAGCCAGTCCTTTGCAGCTTTCCTTTATGCCACGACACCATGTCATGCACTGACCACCTCTCCGCTTTTTCCAACCAGTCCCAGAGTCGGTAAATAATGCACGACGTGGAATTCTCTGGGACGACATTCGTAGAACATGTCCAAGTCACCGATTTCGGTGTTTCAAGATGATGACATCGATTGCATTATCATCTCTGCGCCCGAACACACGATGCCGAACCTCTGCATTACTGACATAGTGTTGCCACTGGAAGTCAGCCCCCAAATGCCCTGGTACGGCCGAGAGTGGGGAGAGTCCGCTCTCCCTCTCGAAATACTCTCACACGGCCACGCGTATACAGCCTCTGCCAGGAAAGTTCTACTCACTGCATTCTCGTGGCATTACTGTTGTTTACGAAAATGAGAGGACGAAAAACGAATGTCCGGCGCCTTAACCAGATTCCAAATCAGTGGTGCACATTGGCTCCAGTATCCTGCGGGAACAAATGGCGTATGAACCAATCGTTGGTCACCAGCTACCATGGGACTGCATCTCCTTACGATGCTCCACTGCCTTGTGGGTTAGACCTTTAGGTGAAAGGCTCGGGGTGTGGCCCCCTAAGATAACCACCTGCTTCGGTCTGGGCACCCGGGCAGTATCGCAGCCCACACGCAAATGATGAACTCTCTATATCTATGGAAACTAATTGAAGTATTAAAAAAGGAGGAATGAATGTGAATCGCTTGACTTTTAATCGAGGAGGGAATTGTATTCCAAGTAATTATCGTCATTTCATTGTATTTGTGTGTGGGCTGTGAGACTGCCCGGGTGCTCAGACCGAAGCAGGTGGTTTTCTTAGCGGGCCACACCCAGAGCCTTCGACCTGATCCACAAGGCAGTGAAGCATCGTGCGGAGATGCAGTCCCATGGTCACCGGTGACCAACAATAGGTTCATACGCCATTTGTTCCCTCATGATACTGAAGCCCACGTGCACCGTTGGTTTGGAATCAGGGCTTCCCATCTCCCCTAGGTGGACTCACTGGCCCGGTTAAATCGCCGGACATTGGCTTATCGTTATCTCAATTTCGTAAACAACACTCGTGGTGAGAGAAGGCAGTGAGTAGGACTTCCCTGGCAGAGGCTGTATACGCGTGAGAGCATTTCGAGAGGGAGGGAGAGATCAAACGGTATCATGCTTAACGCGAAACCTGGAGTCGCAGGCAGGTATCACTTCCGAGATATAGCCCACGCAGAAATAACTGTTCAGTCCTCGAAGAAGAACTTACATTGTTCATTTCAAATAAATTAAATAATAATAGAACTCTTGACATTATACAAATAAAATGGCATAAACATGTCAAGGCCGTTTTCCCATAGTATGGTTGATATCCCAATATAACTTTCTTGACAAGCATAGGCACACCTATTGGGTTAAGAATCAAGGCTTTTCGGATGAGATAGTGATAATATAACTCACATCGAACCAAAGTAGGAATAGAGTACGAAAAGCCAAGTGCATGAAGGTCAAACACTATAAAAGTTGAACCATAACTCCTAGGTATGGTAAATTCTTCAAGATGGAACTAAGTATAAGTTTTTTTAACATAAGGAAAGTAAGCTTACTTCGAAAACAAGTGTATTAAGCGAAAAAACTTTAAATCACCAAATACTGGAAATCGTATTTGACTAAAATGGGATTAATGACCTATCGAAATCTCAAACGCAAAATCAATAATTGTAAAGCCAACTCTTAGCTACTGATTACGTCATTCGCTTAAGCTTAGAAAAAGTAACACAGTATAATTCGCATTTCTAAGCTATTTATCTGAGACTAATCCAGGGCTATTTTCAGTATTTACATTGTAACCGGTCGATTACAATCAATGCTTGCACAAATTTTGTCGATCATGATCTTATTGCTTGTTGTACGAAGAATTGGCCGGTTAAATATTCGAAAAATAGGTATGACCATATGTGTAATTTCGTTTAGAAAGAAAGTAGCAACTATACACAGCACATCATTTCTTTTCAAAAAGCACGTAAACGATCATTTTTTCTCTGGCATTTGCATTTGGAAAAAAGGTACAAAAGAGAAACTGGTATGACTAATAAAACACCACATACTTCAAATGTTATATTTAAAACTAAAACACCAACACGGCAAATCTATACTTTAACATCGCAAAACAAATGAATAGCCAATACCAAACAGTAGTATGGGACAGACTTATTGTCATTCAGTCAGACGAATTAAGAAGTGATAAACTCTATCCAAGAATTGAGTACTAGAAGCAGTTATACCATCTCGCCATCATACACTTTTTCTCAAGGCTTTGGGATGTGAGATATGGAGTCGTAGACTAGATAACTATCTCACGAACCACTTCCGCTTCAAAATATTATTCACCTCTCTGCATTGTCTTAAAAAGTGACCGAAAGCCCACGATTGTACCACTTCGAAATAATCGAGTAATTAACAGATCTCAGCACGGATTCGAAAAGCTCGTTTGGCTTTTGCCAACTTACGTCACCTATGGCGAAGGCGAGATATCCGTCTATCAATAAAAGGACGAGTAAACTGCGCGGCAGTCCGTTCTGTTTTAATTTACGGCAGCGAAACATGGCCATTAAGAGTAGAAGACACTCGTAAGCCACTAGTATTTGACCACAGATGCCTTAGAAATATTGCTGGCGTCTGCTGGGATCACCGGGTAAGTAATAGTGAGGTTAGACGCAGGGTATTAGGGAATGATGGTAAATCAGTTGATGAGGTTATGAATCTTCATCGACTGAGATGGTTGGGCCACGTGTTACGTATGCCTGAACACCGATTACCACGACGTGCAATGCTATCCGGTATTGGAGACGGTTGGAAGAAAGTTACGGGCGGCCAAACCAAAATGTGGCATCAGTGCTTGAAGACACTAACTTCTAGTCTTAGCCATGTTGGTAGATGCAGACTACTTGGTTGGGGTCCGCGTGACTATCGTAACCAATGGTTGGAGACTCTTGGTGACATGGCTCAGAATCGATCACAATGGCGTCGGTGTATACACTCCCTGTCTTCCCTTAAACTAGGAGATTAAAATCACTTCATATCTTTCTTTCTACGAACCAATTCTTTCTTCTTGTACTATATCTCTATATGCAATCTTTCTCTTATATATAACCACCTTTGACATAACCACTGCTATGAATCCGGTGTTCATCTTGTTGTGCTGATGCGGTATGGCAACCTGGACCGATGCACATATGTGCCTGGTCCTACGTTGTAGCTGACTGACTGCAATTCACAATAGTATAAAAATGGTTTGGAAACATGTCTTAAGGTAAACAATGGCAATACCAACAAGACTAAGACGAATATAAAGATACAGGTATTACTTAACCATTCCCATTTCAAATGGAAATTAAAACAACTGATTCCTAACATAGCAATGACAATACCTAGGGATAATAAATCTCACAGCACAGCTCGGTGGGACGAAACAGCCATTCAAAGCCACAAGTGGCTGTCTAGCTTATATCGATTCCCGATTGCGACAAGATTATTTACTCGTTCTGCACAAAAGACACAAAATATCCCATATCCATCTTAAATTTTTAGGTCATAAATTAGGGGACTGCTTTCCAAATTTGTAAGTAATCAGAAGTACCAACAACACAACAGGAATTTGACAAATGTCGGACGTTTATTTAATACGCATTTATATTTTGCTCATGAAGAATTTCCAGCATTCCACCCACTGGGTAATGCATAGACAGGGGAACTCGTTTGAGTACAGAGCTCCCACTAACATTTTAAACCTCCATGCAGTACCATAGTTACGAGAACATTCAGTCGATACAATTCACTGGTATCACTACATAAAAGAACACGGTTCATATCTCTATTTCTAAGAATTGGCAATGAGGACTTCGTCAATATAAATCATCCTTATACGGTCATTTACGAATAATAGTACAAATGTTAGACTAATCGTTAATAAAACATTTATAACCATACATCGGATGGAGCACATTCAAATATACCGATCGATTGTTGCGTTTCTAAATTTACACACCATACAAAAATAAACAGTTGAAGTACTTTTCTTTCAAGGTAATTTTATTATTAATAAGACTAAGTACAAAGAACTGGTGACGGAAATCTGCAAATAACATTATTGAGCTCGCCAATCCTATGAAAAGATACTACCATAGTTGCATACTTTATTTGATTGTCTATGGAGACACTTGATACCCAGCCAAGAAATCGACTACAATCTTTTTCAGTTTTTCATCAGTTGCTGGCTTTAATTCTCCATCTTCACGAATGGTCTTTAGGAGATCTTGATGATTTGCTAGGACAAACTTAAGAAAATCTTTCTCAAAGTGGATAATCTTTGATGGGTCCAACTTATCCAAATGTCCCCTAACACCAGCGTATATTACAACAACCTGTTGTTCAATTGCCATTGGAGCTAAATAAAATGAGTGATTAGTTTTAGATTTACATACCATATTGATTTTGTTTCAAGAGTTCCGTTAAACGAACACCCGGTTTAGCAACGATTGAGTAGATGCATCCAAGTCAGAACCAAATTGAGCAAAAGCAGCTACTTCTCGATATTGGGCTAACTCTAGTTTCATGCGACCAGCAACTTGTTTCATAGCTTTAGTTTGTGCAGCAGACCCAACACGACTAACAGAAAGACCAACATTGATAGCAGGTCGTATACTTTTATGGAATAACTCAGTCTCCAAGAAAATTTGCCCATCAGTTATAGAGATAACGTTCGTTGGAATGTATGCAGATACATCACCAGCCTGAGTCTCAATGACTGGAAGGGCTGTTAGTGAACCGCCTCCATAGGAATCATTCATCTTAGCAGCTCTTTCCAGTAATCGAGAGTGCAAGTAAAACACATCACCAGGATAAGCTTCTCTCCCCGGAGGTCTTCGTAACAGAAGTGACATTTGCCGATAGGCAACAGCCTGTTTAGATAGATCGTCATAAATTATTAATGCATGCTTTCCATTATCACGAAAATATTCTCCCATCGCACACCCTGCGTATGGAGCCAAGTACTGAAGCGGAGCTGCATCAGATGCTGTTGCGGACACAATGATTGTGTATTTTATAGCATCTGCATCCGTCAAACGTTTGACTAGTTGCGCAACTGTTGAACGTTTTTGTCCGATGGCAACATAGATACAGTACAACTTCTTCTTTTCATCAGCTGCGTCGTTGAAACGCTTTTGATTAATAATAGTATCGACTGCAATAGCCGTTTTACCTGTCTAAAGACGAATCACACCATTGAAAATTTTAAAAATACCTGACGGTCTCCGATGATTAGTTCACGCTGACCACGACCAATGGGAACGAGACTATCAACAGCCTTAATTCCAGTTTGCATCGGTTCACGAACAGAAATACGTGGTATGATACCTGGAGCTTTAACTCCAACACGCTGTCTTGTTTTCGTATTGATAGCACCTGCTCCATCGATTGGATTACCTAAGGCATCAACTACCCGACCAAGTAGCTCTACTCCGACAGGCACGTCGACAATGGCCCCTGCCCGCTTAACAATATCTCCTTCACGGATTAGCTTGTCATTCCCGAAAACGACCACACCAACATTGTCAGGCTCCAAATTTAGAGCCATACCCTAAGGAACGTTAACACTTTAGATGGTTATACCTTTAATCCAGACGAGAATTCCACCATCTCTTCCGCTTGTATATTTTTCAGACCATAGACACGTGCGATCCCATCACCGATACTCAGGACACGTCCAGTCTCCTCCAAGTTTGTTTGTAATGTTTGTCCTAAAATGCGTTCCTCTAAAATACTGGAGAATTCTGGGGCTCCAGCTTTCAAGGTAGATGAAGTGGATAGCCATCGACATCCAAGTTGTTTAAATACCTAAAAAGAGAGGAAAACATTAATCTTACGGATCAGTAGCAACATGTATGCAATGTACATGCTAATAATAACAAGTGCTAAATTAACTAGGAATTGAAAAATATAGGCTGTGATATCATGATGCAGAGGAAAAGGGTGTTATAAAGAGCTCTAGGTTAACATATTTTAGAGAAACAAAACAACTAGAATTCTTTTATTTTAATAAAAAGCCTAAAAAATTTTCTTTGCTTTTATGTATGTCACGTGGTTCAGTTAAAATTAACGGAACAAACCGACAGTTGTCAAAGGAAAGTGATAAAGCATATGATCAAGTCATCCAACAAATGGGCATAAGTGGGATGCGTCTGGTGTAGTAGACTGGAGATAAGTTAAAGGCAGTCAGATCAAGACGCACCAAAATTCCGGAGTCACTGACTGTTGAACTGAGTTATGTAGGTTGGTGAGGATCACATGATTAGAGTCCATGCAAATATTGTAACGAATAGTTAGACTCTGAATTACACGGTTTAGGATCATCAGTAGCACGTGTGAGATTGCTTTTTACCATCGCATTGTGCACTTTACATTTAGTGACGATGAAGCTTAATTAGCAAAAACAAACATTTCCTTTCGTTTCAGAACCTGACTGAATATGCACGCAAGCCCAAGCCGATAGAACAAGATTCCAACCTGAAAACTTACAGCTTGGAAATCATGGTCTAATTACAAAACGAGCCTTTAACAAACAGCTAAACTACATGAAGTAACAGAACTATAAGGCTCAGTCAGTCACAACGTAGGACCATGCACATATATGCATAGTAGTTACTTAAATGGTAGTATTATATAAAAGATTGAGTATAAGGATACAGTAAGAATGAAGCAGTTCGTAGAAATAAAGGTACAAGGCGTTTAACCTCACTACTACTTACCCGGTGATCGCAGCAGATGCGAGCAATATTTCTAGGATATCTGTGATCAAATACTAGTTTATTTAAATAAATAAATAAACTAGTAACTCATGAGTATCTTCAACTCTTAATGGCCATGTTTCGCTGCCGTAGAATAGAACACAACGAACTGCTGCGTAGTATACTCGTCCCTTAATTGATAAACGGATATCTCGCCTTCTCCAAGGGTGACGTAGTTGTTAAAAGCCAAACGAGCTTTTTGAATCCGTGCAGAGATTTGGTCAAACTTCAACCCATTAGGAATGATCAGAATTCCAAGTGAAGCTGTCAACGCGTTCAACTACTTCACTCCCCAACCTTGGTTTAGGTGATGACGCAGACCAGTCGTGAAGCAACAACTTGCATCTAGAGGGGTAGAACCGCATCCTAAACATATCGGTGTTGTTGCTCAGTGTTACCAAAAGACTGTATTTTATCAGTCGTCACCAAACAGGACTATATCATCTGCGTATTCTGAATCGATAAGTGGACCTCCTAGGAGGTCAATTTCTGAAAATTTAGACAACGAGAACGTTGTTTCTAGCAGTAGATATATGACGTTATTGAACAAAAATGGAGATAATGAACAGCTTTGACGGACACCACTTGAGGTTGCGAAATCAGACGACAGCTCGCCATAAGCTCTGACTCGACTAGTAGCGTTCAAGTAGAGAACCTTCACAAGGTTTATGTACTTCTAAGGTACACCTTTCAGTGACAGACACTGCCATAGAACCTCTCGGTTTACAGAGTCAAATGCTACTTTCAAGTCAAGAAAAACTATCATTGTCGGACGCCTATAAGCATGCCTGTGTTTTAGAACCTGACGAATGGTGAATATGTGGTCGATGCAGCCACGACTATGTCTGAAACCAGCCTGATTTATTCGTGTTTACAGTTCGCCCGTCTTTGTTATGCGCCCGATAACTATTGAGGCTAGCATTTTAGTCAATCTAATCCCTTTGTGGTTATCACAGGATGGTATCGACCACCCCTGATATGTTGGGACAATTAGTGATTGCGACCAATCAGATATGACTATCTCCAACTCCCAGGTTCTAAAATATTAATCAACCTAATCGCTAAAATTGGACCACCATGCTTAAAGACCTCTGGAGCCAATCCATCTGAACCAGTTGCTTTTCCTTGTTTCAGATTAGCTATGGTTGCTTGGACATTAATAAGAGTCGGGAGCCTACTTCAATATTCAATTCAGGCTGTTCGGAATGGTGGGTCGCGGTAGTGGCTGAACAGCCCCTTAGTGTTCCGCCCATCGTTCTAAACGTCTGAGTAGAGAGCAGATAAGAACGTCATCCTTTTTTGGCGATCGTCTCACACTTGACTCTTTATAAATTCCAGTTTCTCTTATTATTCTGTAGAGCTTTCCTGTGTTCCCTATAGTCACCGCCTTTCCCATCACTTGCTTTCGTTGCACACCACTGTTCATGGTCGTCACTTGGACTTTTGGTTAACCTAGATCTGATTTGTTTTCGCTCTTCATCGTGTTCGGAGCCTGATGGGAGGAGTTTACGAGAAATCCATTAGTGCAATAGACTTAGAAATCCATTGGCTTTCTGTAACCCTTTGGTTTAAATCGCTAATAAATGTCACTGCTATTCCCACTGCTGTTTGTATATCTTTCCAAGCAACATCTGGGTCAGCTTCGTTTCAAGAGCTACCTCAGCTGATCCTGGAATCTACTCTCGGCTTTTTGTCACTCAGTTCAATTTTAATGGGTCTTCTTAGTGTGGTTTCTCTGCGTTTTGTGAGGCCCAAGCAGATGCGTGCCCGTATTAAAGCGTGACAGGAGTCCAAGCAAGTATTGCAGAATGAGCAACGGTCTTCTATCGAGCCTCACCAACGACGAATGATGGCAATATGGTCTATTTGAATTCATCGTTGGTCTGGTGCAAGGGGTCGCTATGTTAGACGATGTCTCTCCTTATGCTTAAAATTTGTGTTTGCTAAAAATGAAACATTGTCTTAGCACAGTTGCAGCAGACGACCACCATTATCTGTTCGCTGAGCCGGGATACTAAAATACCTACCTACATGTCTTAGTGTTTGACTTAAGCTACCTACTTGAGCATTAAAGTTACCCGTTACGAGTACTATATCTGAGCGTTTAGCTTTCTCTAAGTCATCTTTCACTTCATCCGGGCTGCAGTCGGTGCGAATATATGCAGAAACGACGAAAAGGCAACAGCGTGTGTCTCTATCTTTCCGAGTTCTTACGCAGCTGTTTAGTCGAACAGCACATAGATGACTGTTAACATGGATCCATTCTAATAGTGCTCTTACTTAGTCAAGTCAGGTCTATGAAAAATAACAGTTCTTAAGACAAATTAATATGTATTAATATGGACATCCGAATATTTAATGATGCACTTCCTTAACAGAACGTGTTCGTAGACTTGGTATTTGCAAGAGTTGGTACTGCCACTCACTTGTACAGGCTGAGGCAAGTGGGGATGGTCTATAGTTGTAACCCAAACGTTAGAATACTGGACCTTAGGCGGCGAGTCAGGACTCACCATATACTAGAGATTTTGCTCTGCAAACCAAACACTCCGCTACACACTTCCTTTCTGTCAGCGAAATGATTTGCGCATATTTACTATACTTTCTTCTTGCAAATTCCATCTTGATGTTTCCTAGAAGTTTGTTGGTTTAAACGGTCACGCTTTAAAGTGCAGTCTAACTTTGACACATATAAAGGTTGTGATTCTAATATTTTTTTTCTAAAAATTTCCAGCACAGGATACTAAAGTTATATGTCAAAAAGACCATCAGGACGACTCTTACACCGAAAAAAGAAGCCGCAACAGATTGAAACCTGCTTATTTCGGGTTTATATAGATCAAAAAAAGTAGATGCGTCTATAAGTCAACTCACACATGGATTTCTATTGGACAACTGCCGTGCAACCAGTCCAGCAGCACGAAACGAAGACATGACAACAGATGAGTATGGAAGTGAAATAGTACAACCCCGCGTTACAAAATAGACCACTAAAACAACCAATCAACTAAAAATGATATAGCCTATAGTGGTCAGTATATTGTGTAATTCTATTTTAACTGACCTACTCTGAGGCTGCTTATCTGTAATTTCAGCTTTCTCGCCACCATACCTAATTCAGGAAATATTTTTACAATAAAACCCTGGGGAAAAAAGCGCTCTCTATTTAAAAGGACAGTGGTATTATTTCTCGTTGAGTTAATTAACTGTTTTGATCGTAAATTACGCATCAAAACTACTGTTTACACTTTAATTGCATCTACCCCAGTTAAAGTGATATTTTATTGAGTTTTTCGATTTTGCTTCTGTGTATTTATTGCATCGAAGCATACTTGGTCGACTTTTACTTGGTTTATTTAGTTAAGGTTTGAAAATCCTTTTACATATCCTGTTTTTGTCACCGTTCTAGTTGATTTTCAAGATGGCTAGGTCTACTCATAAATGTGGACAACCATACTGCTTATTTCCCGTGGATGAAGGGATGCAATGTGATGAGTGTAATAAGTGGTTCCATAAGATGTGCACCCGATTAAGCCCCACTGCATATAAAAGGTGTTCAAAGCCCAACTCTCATTGGCTTTGTAGTTTTTGTTGCTCGAGCAAAACATTGCTTATCCAGGAAGCAATTAGTCTCCTGGTGTTGGCTAATAAGAAGGTTGATGAGGGCTGTACTGATAACATTGGTACGGATGGCGAAGATTGCGTTAGTGTCGTAAGTGCTATCACGGCGCAAGCCAGACATCTACCTGTGCAACCCGCAGTTAAACGTTCTCCCCCGAAACGATCAGTGAGTGACACGTCATTAGACGTTGGTGGCCATATTGCTACAGCAGCAACCGGTGACCCAGATAAAACAATTACTGTCCCGAGTTGTTCTAATGTAGACGTTTCGACTGATGGAAAATGGATGACGCGAAAACGCAGAAGAGTAGGAAAGATAGCTAAAACTAATGACTGTTTACTTGGTAAGTCCTTGGTGGACTCTCAGACCAATCCGCCAAAGTCCATAGTAAAGCTTCGTCTGACATTGTTGTGAGTCATTCGCTTGACTCCCAGGACTCTGTTAAAATAAAAACTAATCGTAAGCTACCAGTAGTTAAAATACAGGATCTAACGTCACGGTCGAAAGCTGTGAACACAGTTTCAAAAGAAGCTAAACCCATCCCTAGTTTAATTATTTGGAATCTAGAGGAGTCGAAAGACAACGACCCTGCTAAAAGACACGCACATGACCTACAGTTAGTGGAGTCTGTGGTAAGGAATGTACTACCTGAAGAGGTTTCAGGGGTACATATTACAAAAGTAATACGACTTGGTAAATGGGTTGGAGGCGAGACCCAACCAAGAAGGATCCTGAAGCTGGTTCTCGGGAGTTTCGAAGAAAGAGACATATTATTGAAAAGCGCACAAAAAACTCGTGCCTCAAATATCCGTATTCGACCAGATTGGCCGCTTGAGGATCGAATCAAGTGGAAGAATGCTCTTACGGAGTTGAGGACTCGCAAATTAAATGGCGAAAATAACCTTACCATTAAGGGTTTTCGGGTAGTCAGGTCTTGGAAGCCAATGCTTCCGAGGCCTGTATGGGTAGAACGATTGATTTCCAAAACACCTTAAGTGTGTGCTACACGAACGCTCGTAGTCTTAGAAATAAAACGTCCGAGCTAAGTCTGATGGTGCAAGAATTATGTCCCGATATAATCGTTGTTACAGAAACTTGGTTCACCGTTGATATAGACTGTTCTCCTTTCATTGCTGGTTATATCTGTATCAGAAGTGATAGAGTTTCAAGTCGCAAGGGGGGGGTATAATATTTTACGTTAGGGATCACTTTCGTATACAATCAACCATATCGGAGGCTCATATCAGTGGCACATGTGAGGTTGCATGTTGTAAGATTAAATCTAGAAATGGGTTAGTGACTATAGGGGGAATATACCGTAGTCCGTCTTGTCTGGCTGACGACTTTATCCTAAGACACATCTGTTCTTGGAGTATGGCAGAATGTTGTCTCATCATTGGGGACTTCAACGCACCGCATATCAACTGGATAGAGCTTACAGCTCCAGGTAGTGGTTTCGATAGCGACCTTTTATCTACCGTTATTCAGTGTGCACTTGTACAATGTATCACAAAACCGACACATATTGATTTGCATCATGTTCCGTCACTGCTGGACCTCGCCCTCACCCACCACTCTGAGGATGTCTTTGATATCCAGCACCTTCCTCCACTAGTGAACAGTGATCACGTTGTAATTCACTTTAAGTTTAGGACACATGGTATACAATTCGTATCTGCTCCACCCCGTCCCAATATCTGGCGAGCTAATATTCCGGAAATCAGAAACCGTGCTATCTCGACTGATTGGTCGGTCGACGCGGATGGATTGATCGAAGATGAATGGAATAAGTTTAAGGCTACATTCGAGTCCGTAACGTCGCCGTTTATCCCATGGTCAGCACGTAAGCTATCACATTGCCCTCCATGGATTAATAAGGAAACCCGGAAGCTGTTAAAGCGTAGGAAACATTTCTGGGACTTATTCTTGTTGACAGGTCATGCACCATTTAAGCGTGAGTATCAAAAATACCGTAATATCTGTAAGAAAACCATAGCGAAATCCCGTACCACTTACGAACGACAGTTAGTATATGATAGCCGTACTTGTCCGAAACGATTGTTTTCGTATGTTAAACGGCAAATGAAACGTAGTGATGGTATTCCCCCGTTGCTGTTACACGAAAATTCAGAATTACTAGCTGAATCAGATCGAGCAAAAGCTGAGACTTTTTCAGATTATTTTAGCGAAGTCTTCTCTACGTTTATTGTAACAAATACTTGTCCCACTCACACCGAGATACCAACCATTGAATCCGTACAGGTGACTGAGGAAACTGTCCTTCCGTTGATAACTAACCTCAAACCTGGTAAGATACCGGGCCCTGACGGGTTACATCCACGGTTGCTGTCATCTCTTGCGGACATTATTTCAAAACCGCTTGCGACACTCTTCAACATGTCCCTCTCACTCGCTCAACTCCCTAGAGATTGGAAGGACGCTATAGTTAGTCCTATATTTAAGGACGGTCAGCGACAGATAGTATCTAACTACCGGCCTGTCAGTCTAACTAGCATAGTCGTTAAGTTACTCGAAAAGATAATTCGGGTTAGGTTGCTAAGCCACATAGATTTACACAATCTGTTAGCTCCTGAGCAACACGGATTTCGTAACAAGCGTTCATGCTTGACTAACTTGCTTATTGCGAGGGAGGATTGGACAGCAGCCCTAGATCACGGTCTGTCTGTCGACGTGATATTCATAGATTTTAGCAAAGCGTTTGACAAGGTTTCACACGTAGGTCTTATGCAGAAGCTCACGAGCTTCGGAATAATAGGTACTGTACATGAGTGGATAGGAAATTTCTTATGTGACCGCAGACAGAGAGTTAGGGTCAATGGAACGCTATCCGATTGGAAGCCGGTCAAAAGTGGTGTACCCCAAGGCACCATCTTAGGCCCTCTGCTCTTCCTTCTCTACGTTAATGAGTTACCGCTGTTACTTAGGTCGTCGACATTATTGTTTGCGGATGATGTAAAAATCTGGAGAACAATAAAAAGTGCGGCTGATCATGTGGATCTTCAAGCTGATTTAGACGATTTAGTTAGATGGGCTCGAGAGTGGGGCTTAGAAATTAATGCTAGGAAGAGTGTACTAATGCACGTCGGTCACGGTAATAGTTACCGTTACACTATTGAGGGTAAACCTCTTCCATGCGTTCAAGAGCATAAGGACTTAGGAGTAATATTAAGTCATGACTTAAAAACAACTGCGCATTGCAAAGCAGCCGCTGTCAAAGGTTTTCGTGCGTTATGGTCACTTCGCCGAGCGTTCAAATCTTTTGACGAGGAAACGTTTCGAATTTTATATCCCATATATGTTAGACCACATTTAGAGTACTGTATCCAAGCAGCTAGCCCGTGTCTGGTAAAGGATACTAACTCCCTTGAGCGTGTCCAGCGTGTGGGAACGAAATTAGTGAAGGGTCTTTCTAGACTCCCTTACGATGAGCGCTTAAAACGCCTAAATCTTTTCCCCTTGTCGTATCGTAGGACACGAGGTGACCTTATACTGGCATTTCGTATCTTTAATTATGATTTGGGTGTTAATATGTCTTATCTTTTTGCTCCCTCCAGCACTAATAATCTCCGAGGTCATAGCAAGAAGGTTCATAAACCACGATCTAATAAACTTAAAGTGGGATCCCGTTTTTCTCATCGAGTAGTCAATCATTGGAACGCCTTACCCGAACAAGTGGTATCAGCCCCATCAGTGAATACTTTCAAGGAAAAGCTGGACCTTCACTGGAAAGCAATGTGTCAGGATTAACACAGGTTCATCAACCTACTATCCTTATTACTGAAGACTGAAGACTGTATAACATTATTCTGGAACAAAATGACGGTTCAAAGATTTAGAGTGATCTTAGCCATAATAGTCTGTCAGTTAAATAACCTCTTTGATACTTCTCTTAAGAAAGTTATCACTATTGTAGCGGTAAAAAAACAGTTTACTAAGTCTTTGATATTAATACTTACCTCAATAGCTTAACTGGACACATCCCAGCTGAAGACGATTGTTCATGCATCCGCAACACATCACCAGTCGGTACGCTGTACTACACATTCCTTGCGACAACTGTTCAGCCTAATTTGTATGCTACTTTCCAAATATATATTCGAACTCTTTCATTCCAGACTACTGGGTTAATTTTCTTCGGGATTACCGATTACGGAATTGTGGCGGATAACCCCCCCAAAATCAATAGTTCTGCAAGTATTTGACATCTGATGCCGATCGAATTAGTTTTAATGGACATATCTAGCAGAAGGCGCTCGGTAACTCATTTTCACCGGATCACTACTGGGTAATC